CAAAGTCAATAGAAGGTCTGCCCCCAATAATTCTCGAAAATGATTTACCCCTAACGGTATCCTGACGCAATTTCTCCCTCGAGATAACTAAACTTCTATCTGATGCTCATTATGCAAGCTCACTTGATGTTTAAGCATTTATTCACATGCAAAGAATGTTTATTCTAAGAATGTTTAAGCTTTTATTCTCTTGAAGTTTAAAAACTTTTTATTAAAAAATGTCGAAACATCAAATTTTTCTTATGCAAAAGAAAGTAAAAGTATGGAGTGATACCAACTCGAAAGTTTTAGCAAGCCTCCTAGGAGTCAGATTACCGTACTCTCGTTACCGTTTTTCTTTTGCATTAACCCTTACTCTAGTTAGGACTTTTAAGGGTTATCATCACATGAATTTTTTCTTTCTAGACAACTTTCATCGTCCCTTTTTCATTACTTTTCTATTTCCCTGCCTAAGTCGTTTTTTACCCTCTTTTTTCCGACTTGGCGGGCTTTTTTTCTTTCCTTTTGAACAAGTTGTTGATCTTCATATCGTCTTCGATTTTGGTAAGTGATTATAAATGTTTGAGTCCTTGGTAGATAAGGGATAACCATCGTTGTATCGTCATATTTGATCTTCCTGACAAGTGAAAGATAACCATTATGGTTAATCCTTACATGCATGCTCTTGATGTCTGAGGGATAAGGTGTGGTGATCCTCGGATGCTCGCTCCTTATGAGATTTGAATGCTCAGTCAGATTAACTGAAATCTACCCTACTCTGGGTTAAATGTGGGGGGGTTTTCTGACAAGAAAAGAAACTCCTACTTCAAAGCTCAAAGGGGTTGGCGAGGGTTTATCTCCCTTATATCTCTGTTGTTTGAGAATTTGAAATAATGCATGTACATCGTCAGTAGGGTTTTACTCAAAAGCATACCATTTAAGATTTTTGATATATTTCTCATCATCCTCTCTCCAAAGGTTTTTTCTTTGTTAACAAGAGTTGAGTATCAAAAGCAAAAAAAAGAGAAAGAAAATAAAAAAAAACATTTAAGAGTGAATACTAATGGATTAAATCAAGACAAACATATTCAATGCATTATGATTAGTATTCAAAAATAAGCAAGTTTTGCATACAAGAAAGTATTGAACCATAAAAGAAAGATTACAAATGAGAATGGAAATGTTATTTGAAATTTCCATATTGAGGAGACTAGTCTCTGTATGGACTTGTTGCTTCCGAATATACTCTGGCAGTCTTGACATTCACTGAGTCAAAGGAGACTTCAAATCTGATCGGCTAGTATGAAATTGATGACCTTTGCACTAAGCAAGCCTTACACTTCATCTTTGAATGGTTTACAACCTTTAGTTGAATGGCCAGGTGCCCCAACATGGTAATCACATCGGATTCCCTCAACAAATTTGATGAATGCTTTATCAAGCAAATTTTCATAAACTACATCACAAGTATCTTCTACTATAGAGAATAAATTCAAACCATCTTCTACTATACAAAAGAAATATTCAGAAACTGTAACAAGGGATCTTCTCCTACATAGAAGAACATAAACTCTGAATGTAGAACTTAACCTTTGAGGTATTTTTTTCTACACAACATCAGATGTCCAAGAACTCGATATCTTATACTTCTTCATCATATAAGCATGACCCCATCTTCTACTACATACAAGAAGCACTCAGCTGAGGAGAAAGAGTTTGAAACGGTTTGTCGACCATGGACTGGACTTTGGCAAAGGAGCCAGCCAAGTGTGAGACTTTATACTTCAACCTCTTGCAGTTTTTAATATCATAACTAGGTGCCCCGGAATGAGAGACACGTCTAGCATTTGCATCGAAATCAAGAAAGAGGTTTGTGGGAGGAGGACCCAAAGAATAGAGCTTTACCAATTTAACTTCCAATAGACGAGGAAGTATTCGGATGTAAGGCAATTGGATTTATCAACATGCTTCTCTTGCTTCTTCTGTCTCTGTTGATAAGATTTTCCCCATGGATTCACTTGGAGACTAGAAACTAGATGCTAGCAAGAAAATCTGAGAACACGGAGTTCTGGTGAGACCCATAAAGTATCTCATGATTTGAAAAGGTCCAATATAATGGGGACGAATGACAGCTCCTATTGCAATAGCATATACACGATCACTTTACTTTACTGACATTGTCTTCAGAACTTCCATACCCGACTCAATTGAGTCTTCAACTGGTTATTTTTTCCATGTTCAATCATTTTCAAGGAACCCGCATGCTTCTAATTTAGATTTTGATCCAGTAAGAGATGGACAAACACAACATAAGGCTCACAAGCACGACTCCTTGAAAATGGAAAGAACATTTGTGCTAACTTTTTTTTTCATGCATACATGTTTTTATATATTTCTTTTGTAAAAATTAAATATGATATGATGCAAGTGAGATACTCATGAAATCAAAGTTTCCAACATCGGAAATTCGTTGCGCTGTCACTAGATGTGCTGAGAATACCAAGATCAATAGTTTGGAACATAAACCATAGAAAACCAAGTCACCATCAGAACACGGCCGCCAACAGAATAAGGTCACCATCAGAACAAAGTCACCATCTGTACCTGTAAAGATTTTTTCCTCCCCGCTCATGGGTAAAGACTAGGTCAGGGTAAGGTCAATGGTAACTCAAAATCACAGGTTTTCCTGAAAGCACTACCATCAAGCCACAGACATGGATGACGATAACACCCCATTTGAACCTTATTTGAGCGTAGACGACATGACTGTGTTGGTAGGACCTTCGTCCAATAGCCGTCATGTTATACTTTATTCATAAGTTTCCTATATAGTGCACTCTAGCTTGGGTACTGGACATTTTACCTTAATAGTAACACCTACCCAACATGGAAAACTATAATTCAGCACAACAGATAACCAATATGGAAAACAATAAAATGCAATGCAAACATATGCTCAGATAAACATGTACAAAATGAACAAGCCATAAAGCATAATATAAACACCCAAAGAAAAGAAAACAAGATTTAGGAGCGAATCCGAGATGGATCAGCAATTGATCAACTTTTCCCCAATGAAGTCGTCAGCTGAAACAACCTGTTGGACATATCATCGAGATGAAATCAATGAAGTCGCCATTGAATGATTTTATCTCACGGGAAGGAAAGGATAAACATTGCTTAAACCTGAGAAGAGTGAAATCAAGAATACTCGATTGGTGCATCCAACAAATATAGAAAGACATTGAGAAGGTTGGAAGGTAGCTTTTTCCTCAATGAAGATGTGTTATACAAGAGAAATTGTGACATGGTCTTGCTCAGATGCATGGATAGACACAAAGCAGACATGTTAATGCACGGGATCCATGAAGGTTCCTTTGGTACCCATGACAATGGATATTCGATGGTAAAGAATATGCTTATGGGAAGGTTACTATTGGCTAACAATGGAATCTGACAGTTGCAAATTTGCGAAGAAGTGCCAAAAATATCAGATTTATGCTAACAAGATTCATGTGCATCCAACGCTTCTCAATGTTATTTCTTCCCCATGACTTTTTTCTATGTGAGGTATTTATAGGATTGGAATGATTGAACTCAAAGCTTCGAATGGGCACTGTTTCATCTTAGTGGCAATTGACTATTTCACCAAGTGGGTGGAAGCAGCATCTTATGCTAATGTCACCAAGCATGTGGTAGTACGCTTTATCAAGAATAATCTTATATGTAGGTATGGTGTGCCAAGTAGAATTATCACTAATAACGACACAAATTTGAATAATAAGATGATGACAGAACTTTGTGAAGAATTCAAGATTGTCCATCACAACTCGTCTCCTCTTTGTGGTTTTAATTTCTGAACTGGATTTTATATATGGTGCAGGGCTGTACTAGTTAACAGTTCAATCCATGTTTCTTTTAACAAACTAACGGCTGACCATTTTCATCAGAATTAACATAGCAATATTAGTTGACCATAATTGCTAACCTGAGCCAAAGAAAAATCAGAAACGATATAGCTACCCTGCAATACATAAGCTAGTTAAACAGTTAACCACAAAAAAACTAACAGATGTTAACTAAATCTAAACCAGCTCCGCCTGTTCCGTTTTTTAAACAGAAAATATTAAAAGAAGAAATATGCATTGTAGGAAGGGAATAACCGTGGAAAATATGAGGGAGAGTGAAACTCAGAAAATTAGAAACAACATTAAATCGGAATAAAACAAAACTCGATTGAATTTCCAGCTCGGCATCAGTATAAAACAATTGAATCAGAAATATATCTATATCCATAACAAATTAACTGCCTCTTCATAATAAGAGCCAGCCTTGCAGATCGAAACCATTCACATCCAGGTACAAGTATAGGTTCAGTTTACAAACAGAAAATCAGTTCAGCCATGTCCTAATTGCTAAACCATGCCCGCAATTCAGAAATTAAACTAAACATTCTAACAGAAAAAACCAATAATAATAAACTGTCCTAACCGATTTCGACAGCTCAGCAATAACTAACAGATTCCTAATTTTGTAACTAACATCTTATCGAATTAGAGCTCAGCTCTAACCTCCTAATTGCTTCTAACAAACTTTTGGCAGAGGTATATAAACAGAAAACCTAACTGTTTTCTAGGAGGATAGAATAGAATTTTACCTGGAAATGGCTTGATTATTCACAATCTGAGAAGAATCACCAAAAAAATATCTCATTCATCTCTTTGCTTTCTGTTTCATCATCTTAAAAGTTCTGCATAATCTCCATAATCTCCATCATTCTTCACCACTTGGAGAATCACCACAAACTCACCACAAACTCTCTCTTCACGCTTTTTTCTCTCTGTACAAACCTTCATCACCATCTTCAATCGTGAGTCAATTATTGGCTTCAATCCGTTTCTCCATCTTCATCACCATCTTCACTCTGCATCGACTAGCCTCAAGATCTGAATCACACATCTCCACCACATCTTCAATCGTGGAATCAACAACGTTTCACCGATTCTCCTGCAACAACTTCGTCACCAATTCTCCTGCAAAAAAACTTCATCTTCAATTTGCACCAAGAATCCGCATCTGTTCAACACTTCACAGCTTCGTATCTTCAATTTCTTCTCACTGCAAAACACGCACGAATTCAACATCAATAGCGATATCATCATCATCACCAACAACAACGCAAAACGAATAAGAAGAAGAAGAAGAAGAAGAAGAAGAAGAATAAGCCATTGGAGCTACCCTGACCAATACGCGGCCGTCGTGATGTGATTTTGGTTATGGCTGAAACCTAGGGTTTCAGATTTGAGAGGAACGACGAAAGATATTTGCAAACTAATGGAGGATATGTGGACATGGCGTTTGGAATTGACGAAGGTTGAATGATTTGAATAGAAATCAGAGAGGTAGTGAGACCAAAGCATAATCTAAGGAGAATCTGAACTGAGGTGAGGAGAACGCGAGTTGGGGATGAAATATGAGATGAAGAGCAGCAGTGTTTTGTTGATTTCGATCAGAGAAGAAGAGTTGAAGCACCGAGTGCCGCCGTGTATAACTTGTAGAAGAAGGTCGCATTTGGGAGAATAAGTCTGAGCGTCACTTCTTTTACCCATTTGTACCAGGGCAATGTCGTTTCAATTGCTAAATTGTTCTTTTTTTTATTTTATTATCTTAATTATATTGATGAATAATTGAATCAATAGGAATTGATAAATGTGGTATAATATGATGCTGAAAATAGAGAAACATAGTGAAAACGTGGGCTGGGCCGAAATCCCATAGGCACCTGTTCATATTTTTAGACAGCCATGGCCTTGCTAAAACAAAGAGGCAACTTTAGACCATCTAAAAATGGGCCCAGATTCCTGAACTACTGAGCTTACCACCCGGATTCCAGCATACACCCCCATATTTTTTTTCTTTTTCTTTGTTAGATTTAGGACTTTTTCTTAGTTTTTTCTCTCTATATTTTGATGATAAAAACTACAAAATCAATAAAATTTGTTAGATCTTCTTAATTGATTTTAGGTTAGTTTTTATAGGATTTTCCTCACATAAAAAAACTAATTAAAATACTTTTTCTTTTGGTTTTTATTCATATTTTCATACCGTTGTTCCTCATTATTTTTGACGCGTTTGTTCTTTGTGTCAGGTACATTTTTTATGTTTTCGATCATGTAACATAACAGGTAGTTATGTGATCGAAGCATATGTCTTATGCTCGCTTCTGATGCGACACGCCTTATTTCTCATCGTCCTGAGAAATTCATATCATATTATATATTGTCCAGATACATGTGATATTTCATTATACTTTATGCAAGAACTTCTGATTACGCGTTGCATTCGCAACACGCATTTTCTTTTATCTTAGTTGAATATCGTTTCTGAATTTGTTTGTTTTTTGGTGAAGCTTGCTCGACGCGTACTCCTTTCTTCTCCATTGCTTTCATCTGCTTTCAACAATTTGCTTGCTTTTGGTAGTTGTCACTACTTCTTTTACATTTTTCTGCACTTTATCGCATTTCTTTACTGCTTTCCTTGCTGTGAGAAGTAGGACTAGAGATGTATGATGGAGATCTCTGTTGTTGATCATGTCAGGAACCCCTCGGGTTTATTTAAAGACCCGTTTATGGAAATTCCGCATTATGTGCATTATGTATGCTATTTGTGTTTATTTAAAACCCTACCTTTGAAATAGGTATTTCACATGTGTGTTTACATTTGTGCTCGCATATATTCCTCCATCCCTTATTGAAGTCCTCAAAAGGAGGCGAGCGAAAAAGGTTCGCAACTAACCCCCGCAATTTCGTCCGTGTCATCCTTACTCGTAACTTATCATGATGCTTCGTAGTTGTTCCTACTCTTGTTATCGAGTTGACAAGTGGAAAAGAGTTTCAAAATCGAACCCCCACACTTTGTCAGGAGTTTGAATTTGTCTACGTAGATACTCCATGATTGTTCATATTGCCTTCTATCATCTACCTTGATCTTCTATATCTTCATTAGGTGTTTAGTCGTTTTGGACATCACATTTTTTTACATCCTATCCCCGCTTGTTTTCTTCGGGTGATCCTCTCCCCTTAGCTAAAGCATTTCTCTTCTTTTATATTTCACTCCCGCTTATTTGTCTTGGGTGATCGACTCCCCTTGACTAAATAATTTCGCTTCTTTTATTTACCATTTCATGTGTGTGCTCTTTCGAGCTTGTTTGCTCACTCGCTTTCTATACCATGTCCCCTTAGGATGTGCTTGTTCGGTTCAGATGCAAGTTAGACCTTAGGTTACAAACCATGCATGGTAACATTAGGTATAGATTTCCCTTTCATCCTTGACGTAGGGCCATCATTGCATGATAACATTAGGATTATAAATAGGCTAGTCTCTTGTAGACTCTTTTCTTCCCCTTTTGCATATGCATTTAAAACTAAAACTTTATTTTTCTTAGCAAATCATAAAATATGCTAATTACACTTAAACCATTTTTCAAGGTGACAAAATACAAACCAATCAAAAGGCATCTTGCCTTGAGGGCATAACTCAAAACCATTTTTAGATGAGGACATATTAATTTACTTTTATGCCAATGCGTGAGTCTCCAAAGGTCGAGCTGCGACAGAAGGCGGAATTAATATTGTTTATAAAAAACACAAAACAAACAAAATATATGAGTCGAACTACGGTAACTATGATTTCTCAAAAAGGATACGTAGGCATTGGGGTAGGGCCCAAGCGAGCACAACTTTATTTTCCCTACATTATTTTCTCCTTTCTTTTGCATGCATTCTTCCTCAGTAGTAAGTAGTAAGCATAGATTAGACACACCCATAAGATAGATAACAAGAGTGGATATCATAGAGTACTACGGGTGTGTGGGGTGCTAATACCTTTCCCTTGTGTAATAGACTCCCTTACCCGATCTCTCGGCGCAAGACTGTGACTTCTCTCTTCTCAGGTTTTTTCGATGTTCTCCTTTCCCTTCATGTGAGATAAAAGACGTTCAATGGCGATTTCATTAGCTAATAATTTTTAGCCGGTTGTTTCAGTTGGTGAATTCACTAGGGAGAGATCGACCAATTACTGGTCCATCCTAGAGACGCTCCTAGCTCTTGTTTTCTTTTCCTTGGGTGTTTATTTTTTATGCTTTCTGTTTATTCATTTATACATGCTTATCTGAGCATATGTATGCATTGCATTTTACTGTTTTCCATATACTATTGTTATACTGGATCTGCTTCTTGATTGGGTGGGTGTTACTAATGGGGTAAAAGGCCCAGTACCCAGGCCAGAGTGCACTCTCTAGGAAACCTAGGAATAGAGTGGGGACATGACGGTTATAGGACGTGGTCCGATTAGTGCAGTCATGTCATATACCACGCTCAAATGAGGTCTAAATGGAGGTATTTTCATCATGCATATCTGTGTTGCGATGATTTTACTTTCAAGCGGACCCGTGATTATTTAGTTACCCCAGCCTTACCCTAACCTAGTCTTCACCCGTGAGTGAGGAGGGGATAATATTTACAGGTACCATTCGTGATTATGTTCTATTGGTAACTATAGGTCTCGGATTTATTTTCTAAGTTCCTGGCTTGTTTATTTAGAGGTTCATTCGGGCCTTCGATCTTGGTATTCCCATCATGTTTAGAAAAGGCTTATTAATATCCGATGTTCCAGAAGCCATGATCTCGTACAATTTATGATCTACGTGGTACTTGGTTCTTGTATGTGCGGAAGCTATGCCAGACCTTTGTTCTGGTGATATTCATATGGTTCAGAACAGTGCAGCAATCATATTCAGAAGTGATGGAACTTTGATCCCATGTATTTGCATACATAACATGGTTAACCACATGCTACTTTGATCCCATTTATTTGCATATATAACATGGTCAACCACATGCTTAACATACATGTTTTGTTATTTCCAGGGAATCATATTTGTAGGCCTTGTGTTAAACTTTTCCCCTTACCTGTGTAAAATCAAAATCAAAGCATGCAAATTCCTTGGAAATGACGGAACATGAAATGGCATCCATTCATGAACCTCAGGCACATTCATGCATTCATAACAGGTACTTGAAGATTGGGGATTCTTATTCACACCTAGTGTTCTCCTCAGAGGTTCGTACTTAATTTCTTACTGTACATGCTCAGAGATCAGTCATGGAATAACTATGTGGGGGATTGACCGATACGAAGATCCCGATGGGGTTGATTATGGTATACATGCAAGCTTTGGCCTGTTGTCGGGAATTCTTCGAGAAGGAAGATAATTGATTAAAGACTCGGATGAGCCAGGTCAGGAAAGCTCTGATGATGATATCAATAACCCTACACCTACTGCCACAACAGGTTCTCTCTTCTCCTCATCTTTTGGGAATTGCTTTCAACCATGGAATGCTACACAATCTTGAGTTCTTGGAATCTTATCAGCAGATGGTTCCCATTTACTATGTGAATTCAAGAAACTTATTTTAACAGCAAGATTAGAATACGCCTGAAGAGGAGTTGATCTTATATCAATGCTTCATTCTCATTGGTTTCCACACTTGTTTGAGTTTTAGTGGGTTAAACCCCGTACTTCGATATCGTCTATAAATTCCCTTCCAGATCATGATACCAACGTCAGATGTGGTTACCACACTAGAGCATCCGACTATTAAATCAAGGGAACTCTCCACAGCTTTGTGTTCCCTGATCTATTCGACAGCAATCAATCTTTGTTCCCCAAGTGAATTCATGGGGCAAAGCTTTTAAGCAAAGATAGAAGAAACCTGATGAGAATGTTGATGTGGTTCGAATGCATTACATCCAGTTATTTCCTTGCCTGGTGGAAGTTAAATTGGTAAAGCTCTGGTGTTTGGGGCTCTCCTCCAACAAACATATCTTCTAATTGTGATGCACATGCTAGATGTAACCCTTATTCTGGGACCGATTTTGATATTGAAGACTGCAAAGGGGTTGAAGTATAAAGCTCAACACATGTCTGACGTCTCTTCCAAAAGTCCAATTCCTATTTGGCCAACCTCCATACTCTTTCTCACCAGCTGGATGTCTCTTATATTGTGATAGAAGACGAATTATATTGTTTCTTTGTGGCATAAGACGCTTGGTGATGAAGTTCATACAAGTTCGCTTGGTAAAGCATTCATTCGTTCTCCTGAAAGAATCTTATATGCATATTATTCAGGGGCACCTAACCATTCGATTGAATAGGGTATGTCATCCAGAGACAAGGTCTAGGACGGGCTCAATTCATAGACTGTTATGTTCAAATAAGATCATAAGGAGAATTCTCTCGCCCATTTAAGCATCAAGGCTGCAGAAAGTCGTCAGAATTAAGAATTCCATACTGAGTCAAGTCTCCTCAACGATGGCAATCATTAGTTTTTTTACTGCATTTTCAATTGTATTCTTGCTTATTTGTTTAAACATTGATTGCATAAACCTGTATATTTTGAATGAAAATCTTAATGTAATAAGTATGATTGTCTTTAAGTGTTCCTTTCGTTTTTATTTATCCATTCGTTATCACTCTTTAAATGTTTTGCTTGCATATTGATGCCAAGTTT